CGAGTGGCCTCGGGCCAGAGGTGAACCCCTGCTGGGGGAAGGGTGCGGGAGGGCCTGGATGTCCAGGAGGTTGCTGGGCGCAGGAGGGAGGACAAACTGCCTGCAGATGCCACAGAGACAGAGGAGTCAGCACTCGTGCCAGGGATGGAGTCACTGAGGTGCGGCGGCGGCTGGATTTGCAACTTAATGGGCCCCCATGTAGGAGCCAGCGCTGGCGCGGAAGTTTCTGGGTCTTCCAATAACACCCCACCTCTAGGGCTACTGTGAAAATATGCGAGAGAATGCCAAAAACTCTAAGCCCAGACCGGGTGCGGTGGCTCACGCCTGTAATCTAGCACTCTGGAGGCCTAGGGGGAGGATCACTCAAGTCAGGAGTTCGAAACCAGCCTGAGCAAGAGCGAGACCCCGTTTCTACTAAAAATAGAAAGAAATTAATTGGATGACTAAAAAATATAGAAAAATTAGCGGCTCGGTGGCGCATGCTGTAGTCCCAGCTACTCGGGAGGCTGAGGCAGGAGGATCGCTTGAGCCCGAGTCTGAGGTTGCTGTGAGCTAGGCTGACGCCACGGCACTCACTCTAGCCTGGGCAACAGAGTGAGACTCTGTCTAAAAAAAAAAAAAAAAAAGAAATCTGTTACACTTGCATCAAATTATAAAAGAAATTGTAGATAATTTGGCTTCTATTCACCTGAGATTAGTCTAGTGCATGGTACACAGCAGGTGCTCACTAGATGTTTGTGGGATGAATCTGGCTCCAAGAACCCTTCCGTCCTGAAGAGTGGTGGCTGCCAGAGACCCAGCTCTTCCCAGCTCCTGAGAAAAAGGCTGTGGCTCAGGAACTCAGGTCCCCAAGGATGAGGACCGGGCTTCGCAGGGGCCTGGCGCTGGGCCGGCGCTTTTGTTCCAGCGTCCAAGCCCCGAGTGTGCACCTCCTGCCCGGTCCGCACACTGGAGCTCACAAAGGGGCAGGGCACGACACTTTGTGTGACGCACGGACAAAACCACAACGAGGTCTAAGCGCTGGTCATCATTAGCAATACAGCTTTGTCTGCAAAGTGACGGGTTCCATAAACAGCCCTAGAACTGCTGGGCCTCTGAGCCCCCTGCAGGCAGCCCCTTCCTCTTCCCGCAGCCGGGAGGAGGTCAGGTTCAAAGGCTCTGCCACTCTGGGAGACCCTGACCTTGGGATCCAGGTCGCCAGGGCAGGCGTCCAGGATCGAGAACAACACGTAGCTTCTGTACAGCAACCGCTGCCTCTGTTCCAGGTGCATTAGGTATTAATCTTTCTAATTACCTAATCAGGAGGTAATTAGGTGGGTTGCAGGTCCCCTTTCCGCTGAGATAAACTGCCCTCAGAAGGCTGAGCAATTTGTCTGAGTACACAGTGGTGGAATGGAGATGCCTTCATCGCCTCTTCCCCGGGTCAGGGAGGGAGCAGAAACGCCGCCAAATCTTCCCACCTGGTTCCACACAGAGCAGGGGCTGGAAAACAGGGAAGAGAAGGGCTGCTGGGTGTCCAGGATCATCAAGTCCACCTAGACCACGAGGTACAAATACCCACGACACCAGATAGAGGAGAGAGTTTTGAGACGCTCCTTGCAAATCAACACATACACACACACCGAACGGTCCCCCGGGCCCTGGGCTGCTGGCTGGACCCTCTGTCGGCGAAAACCCCCAGCGGCTGTGACCGCATGGGATAGAGAGGGAGGAGCCTGAGGTCATTGGGAAGAGAGTGCCAGTTCAACTTAGATGTCCACCAGATACTACTTGTGGCCAGGTGGCACTGGCACTGCACACCCAAAAGTAAGGGGGGCCTTGCCTGAGCTCGTGCATGTGTGCAAGACAAAGGGTGGTGGTTGGAGCTCAGGCCCGGGCCGTCAGCTGCCCCCTGGCACGGCCCACCGCCTCTGGGGCTGCACGGTTCTAGCGCAGACCTGGAAGGCCCCACGCCAAGTCCGGGCCCCCTCACCCATTTGGACGTGACGGAAACAGGCAGGGGAGCCGCGGTTTGGGTCTCGTGCCCCGGCGTCCCGCCAGGCTCTCTGCGGTGCCGCAGGAAGCAGCTGCCGGTTCAAAGCGGGCCCAGACGCCTTTCCTCGGGGCGGCGGCCTGCTGGTGGGACTGGCCCGGGCGGACGCCAAGTTCTGTGCCTGGCATCAAAACAACACAGCTCCCCCGCCCTGCCCCTGCCTTCCTGGCAGAGATGCAGCCCCTCTGAAAGCCACAGCCTTGCTCTGCCCGGGGACAAATTGATTACCTCTGCCATGCCACGCCAAGTCCACGCACATCATCCACTTGCAGCCTCTGTGGCACGCCCGTTCCCGGGGGGCTCCCACCCAGGCTCTCCTGCCCTCGGCGTGGTTCCGGATCCCAACCTGCACTCTCTTCAGAGCCCGTGCTGGCTTCCCGAGAACCACTGCTCCTGGTCCCCACTGCACGATCTCTTGAAGGTTTTGAGGCGGTTTGGAATCTTTTCTTCTAGGAGTTCCAGTGACCTGGAGCCGCAGCTGCAGGGCGGTGCCGGAGGGGGGTCCCCGGGGCGCTGCTGCTGGGCTCGGTTCTCTAGGTGAGCGTGTCGAGACACTTGGCTGCAACATGCTGTGTTGGGGGGATCTGTGAGTCGGGGACAGCGGGAAGGGAACGGGAGCTTCACAGCAGTATCAACTATTTGGGAAACGCAAGCGGGTCCTTGAGGGGAGATGCATTTTCCTGTCGCCTCGACATTTCTTATAACTAGACGGGGCAGTTTCCCTCAGACCTTTCCTTACTTCTTCTCTTTTTTTGTTATTTCGGTCATATTATGGGGTACAGATTTCAAGGTTCAATAAATGCATTCCCCTTCCCCAAAAGTTCTGGTCCAGCATGAACCATCCCCAGATGGTGCAATTCACTCATCAATGTAATGATATAACCCGCCTCCCCCTCCCCCTGACCATACCCTATTACTGTAGCTACTTAATGATGATAGAATTAGGTGTGGCTACAGTATAGAATACCATATATGCTGGTGGTATAATGTGGTGCTCTAGTTCCCTTCTTGGGAAACTTCACTTAATAGTATGGGTTCAGCTCTAACCAGAGAAATATAATGTGTATGTCACCGTGTATTCTTATAGCCTGATAGATTCCATGGTATACGATATACCATTTTATTGACCATTCTTGGATTGAGCACTTGGGCTTTTATTTTTTTTTTTGAGACAGAGTTTCCTGTTGGCACCTGGGTGGGGTCCGTGGCGTCAGCCAGCTCACGACTCAACTCCTGGTCAAGCGATCTCCTGCCTCGCCTCAGAGGGACTGGGCTACAGGCATGCGCACCTATGCCCTATTTATTTCTATGTACTTATTCAGTGGTCAATTATTTCTTTATATTCGTTAGGGAGAGGGTGGGTCTCACTCGTTGCAGGCTGGTTTCCAAACTCCTGGACTTGGGATCTTCCCTTGGTCCTCCAGGAGTGCTAGGATGGAGTGTGACCACCGTGCCGCGTTTCTTCCCTCTTTTGTCCCATTCGGAGAGTACCTCTTGCACCCGCTTGTTCAGGGCAGCGGTCATGAGGCAGACTGACCATGAGACGTGGATATATTATTGCTCTTAGTGAGTTACACCTATGCCCTGTGCTTCCCGGGCTGAGGCCAAACCGCGGACGGAGGCAGCTTCAGGAAGAACAGAATGGGGCGGCGGGCGCAGGGCTCAGCCTGTCATCATCCTACCACTCTGGGAGGCTGAGGCTGGCGGATCTCTTAAGGTCAGGAGTTGGAAACCAGCCTGAGCAAGAGTGAGACCCCTCCCCCATCTCCACTAACAATAGAAAAAAAATTAATTGGCCAACTGAAAAACATAGAAAAACTTACGGGCATGGTGGGCATGCCTGTAGTCCAGCTACTCGGGGGCTGAGGCAGGAGGATGCTTGAGCCCAGGAGTTTGAGTTGCTGTGAGCTAGGCTGACGCCACGGCACTCACTCTAGCCTGGGCAACAGAGTGAGACCTGCCTCAAAAAAAAAAAAAACAAACAAAAAAACTGACCCGGATTCACCCAGAAATCTTGTAACGGGTCTGGGGTACACCTGTGCTGGGAGGTTTTCGAAGCTCCTCGGGTCGGAGTTTGATAGTGTCGGTTTCGAGGGACAATTGCCTGGTCCCTCCGCTCCTCTTTCCAAAGCTCAACGATGCTGAGACGCTCAAATAAAGTGGATTCGCATTGCTCACAGAGTCTGCATTTTCGATCCGGCCGCTTGCTAAAATCTATCCTCGGAACCAGTGCTTGCGATGCTCTCAAGGTGTTGTCAAACACGTGCAGACTAGCAAAAAAACCTGAGTCCCCGGCATGCACATTCCCAGGGGGTTGAAAAAAGGGACTCCCTCCAGTCCTGTTTCATTCAACCTTCACGCTGTCAGCAAGTGTCTTTCCACGGTCTATTCAGCGCCACATTTTTGGCATTTTTCTGCGTTTTGTTGGTGTTCTCCGTTTAAACCGGCTCCAGGCACGGCGCTGCAATGCGTCGCTGTCCCCAAGGAAGGAGGCGCGAGTCCTTACGGAGGAAACACGTGTCGACTCGACACTATTAGTTAAAACGACGGCATTCCGGCAGAAACGCACGGAAACGAGATGCTGAATTGACGGGTTGACAATCATGCCGGGGCCAGAAGCTGCAGGGATCGATCCAGTATTTCCCTCCGTGTTCAGGACACACCTGGGCTACAATCGTCTTTTTTTTTCTTTTATTATTTTTTTATTATATTATTTTTAAAAATTTTTGATATTTTTTTAGCCATTTCCATCAGATAATAACGTCTCTGGACGCTCAAGTCCCCATAAATGTCACAGCGTTTGCCGGCCGCCTACGCGCTCCTTGTGTGCCTTAAATCATCTCGGGTGACTCACAGCGCCAAGGCAAAGCTGCGCAAACACTGTCAGCTTGTGTTGTTCGGGAATAATGACGAGGGAAAACGTCTGCATGTTCAGAGCAGCCTAACCCCAACTGCAGGCCCCATTGCATTTTTTTTTTTTTTTTTTTTGATCCACGGTTGGTCGAACCCGATTTGGAATTCGGTGCGTTCGCTAATCCGGCGCTCTCGAGACTCGAGACCGTAACGCGGAGAATACATGCCACGTGAGGGCTAAGGGGAGGGACGAGCAGGATTCAAAAGGCACGAAACCAATTCTCCCGGGCCGAAAGTCTGAGATAAGCCGGCGTTTATCGGCTGTTTTTCTTTCCCATGCATCTCCTCGCCCTGGATTGCAGAAAACAGTTCACAGAGGTGTTGCCTGAGCCACTGTCATCCCCCCTTCTAGCTCCTCTACATAATTTGGGGGAAATTTTGATGCTTCTATGGTCAAAACCAGGCGTCCTCAAACTATGGCCCGCGAGCCACACGGGAGTTTTTGCCCGTTTTTTTTTTTTTTCCTTCAACATAAGATATGTGCAGTGTGCATAGGAATTTGTTCATAGTTTTTCTTTTTTTTTTTTTAACTATAGTCCGGGCCTCCCACGGTCTGAGGGACAGTGAACTGGCCCCCTGTTTAAAAAGTTTGAGGACCCCCCTGGTCAAAACCTTAGAAAACTGAGATTCTCTCTGAAGTTCGCTGTTAGCACTTTCTTTGGCAGTTTCATTCTGTTTTTTAATAAACGGGGACATGACCTAATACAGTAAAGTACACAAATCTGCATGCTTTGACGGATGGTTGCATATGTGTGCAACCCGGAAGTCACCACCTCCATCGACCCAGGCTCAGAACGTTCCTCTGGCCATTTTAGGTGTGAGAGCCACACCTTACTATACCTGGCAAGCGACATCAGGAATGATCTCACCTCCATGAGAGGTATCACCTCCTACACCCCCGGCAGGGGTGTGGTTTTTAGTTTCATTTGGGCTCACAAACATGGCCGTGTATTGATAAGATATACGCGGTGACCTTACATCCTGCAACAGAACATGCACACATATGGGAAAAGGAGGGTTGCCCTTTTAAACCATGATGAAACATAAATATTGGCATTACTTAATTATCAATAGTGGCTTCTTTCAACACTATTACTTCAAGAATACAAGTTTTGAACACGATTAGTAGCCCTCTTATCACTGGGCAAATATTTATGGGTGGTCCTTTTAACTCTCATAAAATTTATCTACATCAACGCTTTCTTGATAATTTTCTGCTCGTAATTTTTTGTTTTTTAGAGACAGGGTCACCCAGGTTGGAGTGCAGTGGTGCAAGCACAGCTCCTCATAACCTCAGACTCCAGGGCTCAAGTGATCCTCCTGCCTTGGCCTGAGCCACCACGCCTGGCTAATTTTTTTTTTTTTTATAGAGATGGGGTCTTGCTGTGCTGCCCCGTCTGGTCTCAAACTTCTGGTCTCAAGTGATCTTCCCGCCTTGGCCTCCCAGAGTTCTGAGATTATGGGCGCGAGCCACCGCGCCCGGCCTTTGTAAATATTTTGATCATGTCTTGGGGAGTGACATGCGTGCGGTATGGCTGTTCCCCACCAGGGACAGCAAGGCCTGTAATGTCACGTTCATTCATACTCGTCTTCCGTGGACTTATGGCCAGCTTCGGCTTAGGCAAAATCACCTACCAAAGCAGTTTGGGATCGTGAGTGTGAGAAAAATCCTCAAAGTCGTTTTTCTTATAGGTAGTACATAGTAGTTTTTTATTTTTATTTTTATTTTTTAAAGAGAGAGGGTTTTTGATCTTGCATTATGGGATCGTTGCAGGGACTTTGAGCGGCCCCCGTTTCGCCCACGGGAAGAGCCACCCGCAGAGGCAGGGAGCCCGTTTCCCCGCCCAGGGATGGGCTTCCTGCCCTGCCCACAGCACGCTAGTCACCGGGTTGTCCTGGCGACCAGGAAACAAACCGAAAGAGCACTCACCTCTGATCATGCCCGCGGTGAGGTCACCCCCACCTGACTCACCTGCCAGGCGGTGCCCTTTTCCTCAGGGCAGGTTTGGGACGGGAGGGTTGCCACGGTGACGGCCCGGGAAATCCAGGGGAAGCAGACATATGAGTCTCAGAAGGAGAGAGGGCTGACAAGGAGAGGAAGAGGGAGGAGACGCCGGCGGGGCGGTGTTTGCAGGGGTGCAGACGGGGCCTCCCGCCCGGCTGGGGAAGGTCTGGCCTTCCGGATAACTGGGCAGGGGCCAGTGCCGCAGGGGCGGGGGGAGGCGGGGCTGCCGCCACCTCCGTGAGTCCACGGGCGCTGGAGCCCTGAGCGGCCGGTGGGCACCCCCTTCCCTAGTAGCACCCTGGAGCGCTGTGCCCCCGGGTCTGTGTGGGGCTGTCCTCGGGGAGCCTAGGAGCCAAGACAGAGGGTCGGGGTTCCGTGGGTCCCAAAGCCGGAGACCCGAGGATCTCCAGGAAGGCATCTCAGAGAGGACCGGATGCAGGGACGCCTGGGGACAGGTGCCCTCCAAGCCCCCCCGTCCCTGCCTCACCGTTTTGTCCTCCTGCGTGGGCGTGTGGGGCCCCGAGTGCCCACGCCGTCCTCCCAGGCTTGGCAGGACACAGACACGGAGAGAGGGGGGTGTTTGCTGGGGTTACGCCGGCGCTGCAAGAGAGAAACAGACACGAAGGGCACCGAGCAGCCGTGACTGGGGGGCTGTGGCTCTTACCTGGGCAGGTGGTCTGCACCGAGACGCTGCGTGCAGCCTGCGTGGAGCGCAGCTCTCTGGGCGCAGGTGTGTACTGAGCACCAGGCACAGGGACTGGGAGCACGGCCCTGGCCCTGCCCCGCAGGTGGACGTCCCTGCAGAGTGACGGCCACCTCTGAGCTCCCCGAGCGGCCAAGGTGTTATATTCGAGATTCACAAGGCCACGGGACAGAGAGACAGAGTCACCGAGGCTGTAATTATCAAAAGGAGTTTTATTGTCTAGCTCGAGCTAAGGTCCGAGCCCCCAGAGTGCCAGCGCGGTGGCCTCTTTTCTGGGCAGGGACCCCCCCCTTTGTGTGTTAGGCCCCTTTCTATAACTCAGTTGTTTACACACTGGTCATGCATCCGCCCCCACAGTGACTCTTACTTCATCCTGCCCCCGATAGGCTCCAACCTGTTCCGGGTCCTAGCTGAGAGACCCCGGTTTCCACGTCCTTTGTCTTTCTCCTCTGCATCCCATAATGTGCCCATAATGCCTTGTGGTTAGCAAGCAAGCAGCAAACACAGAAGCCGGAAGGTGTCCATTGTCCTTATAGCCCAGCATCTTACAAAGGAAAGGTGCCCACTGGGCTCCTGCAGAGGTGTAGGAGCCCGGCGTGCTCCCCTGCACCCATGGGCGGGTGTCGCACCCCACAGCTGGACTCTTGGGACTGCCGGGCTCTCAAAGGTGGCAGGAGGGGCGGGGTGGGGGGTCCCCGGCTGGGGCCACTTCATTCTCAGCGTTAAACCGTCTCCACCTGGCCGAGGTTGCCCCCGGGGCCGCCAGCACACCCTCCCGAGGTACCCCTGCCTACAGATTCACGAACCACGAGGGCTGGGCCGGACCGTCGCAGGGAGCCGCGGAATTCCACACGGCCGCGGCTTCCCCGGGGAGTCAGGAATTCCTTCGGCGCTGAAACTTCCAGACGTCTCCCTGGACCGCTCCGTCTGAGGCTGGACACTCTCAAGGCTTGAGAGAGTTCTCCCGACTTCCCGTCTCGGCCCCTCTGGCCGGTGCTGCTTTTGGCGTCTCCACCTGGCAGGTCGCCCCCGCTGGGACTGATGTCACCCCTCCCAGACGTGTTGCAGGCCTCTCGGCTGCAGTGCACCAACTCAGGGGCGGCGGCCGGAGCCAGGACACCCGGCCTGTGTCTGGCCCCTCCCCCGGGCAGCGGCTTTGGCCGGGCACCCCTGGCTGACAGGGACGCAGCCGTCCACCCCGGCTCCGTCCAGTTTCGCCGAACTGGGAACACACAGCCTCGGTTAATAAGGGGCTGGCGCTGATGCGGAGAGAAGAAATAAAAACAAACCCCCTCCCTGGCGTTATGGCTCCACCAACACTGTCGTTTTTTTTTCATTTGTCTTCTTTTTTTTTGAGCCAGAGTCTCGCTTTGTTGCCCAGGCTAGAGTGAGTGCCATGGCGTCAGCCTAGCTCACAGCAACCTCAAACTCCTGGGCTCCAGCGATCCTCTTGCCTCAGCCTCCCGAGTAGCTGGGACTATAGCCATGCGCCACCACGCCCGGCTGATTTTTTCTCTCTCTATATATTAGTTGGCCAATTCATTTCTTTCTGTTTATAGTAGAGACGGGGGTCTCGCTCTTGCTCAGGCTGGTTTCGAACTCCTGACCTCGAGCGATCCTCCCGCCTCGGCCTCCGAGAGTGCTAGGATCACAGGCGTGAGCCACCGCGCCCGGCCTTTCATTTGTCTTCTACTTTTCGTTGGAAAACTTTACACGCTGACAAAAGCCAACAGAACACGGCGACGAGCTTCTCTCCACATTGTCACTCCACTGTCGTCAACAGTGTTCGATTCCTGGCCAGCCCTATGGGGTCACTGTCCCCACTAAGCCCCTCGCTCTGTTTCTCAGCAGGTCTACACAACACCTCATCCCATCCTTAAATGTCTCGGTCTCCAACTCTGACGAAAGCGCTTTATCGGAATCGCTAGGTAAAGAGAACATTGAGCAATTTTTTTTTTTTGCCGTAGCATTTCTTTTATTCATTTAAAATATAAAAACTGTCCTGATTACAACATATGGAAACACCCATTTTCTTAGGGACAAGCAATGTTTGGCATATTTATCACTTATCTTTTTCTCTGGTTTTTTTTTTTTTTTTTTTGAGACAGAGTCTCACTCTGTTGCCCAGGCAGGAGTGAGCGCCGTGGCGTCAGCCTAGCTCACAGCAACCTCAAACTCCTGGGCTCAGCGATTCTACTGCCTCAGCCTCCCGAGTAGCTGGGACTACAGGCATGCGCCACCATGCCCGGCTAATTTTTCCGTATATATGTTTTAGTCATGTCCAATTAATTTTTCTCATTTTAGTAGAAACGGGCGGGTCGCGCTCTTGCCAGGCTGGTTCTCGAAGCTCCTGAGCGTGAGTAGCCTGGCCCACCTAGAACCTGCCAGGAGTGCTAGCGATTAGAGCGGAGCCACCGCACCGCGCGGCGTCTGGCTTAGAGGCGGAGACCCCGTTTGCTACTAAAAATAGAAAGAAATTAATTGGGGAGCACAAACAGAGGTATATAGACGAAAAAGTAGCGGGCATGGGGCGCGAGGGCCTGTGGGAGCGCCAGCGTACTCGGGAGAGGGCTGAGGGGCAGGACGGATGTGAGCCCAGATCTGAGGGCTGTAGCGTTAGCTGCAGCCCACGCGGGCCACCACTCGTAGCCTGGCACAGCGGCCGGAGTGAGACTCGCTGTCGCGCAAAAAGAAAAAAAAAAGAAATCTGTACACTTGCATCAAATTATAAAAGAAATTGTAGATACATTTGGCTTCTATTCACCTGAGATTAGTCTAGTGCATGGTACACAGCAGGTGCTCACTAGATGTTTGTGGGATGAATCTGGCTCCAAGAACCCTTCCGTCCTGAAGAGTGGTGGCTGCCAGAGACCCAGCTCTTCCCAGCTCCTGAGAACAAAGGCTGTGGCTCAGGAACTCAGGTCCCCAAGGATGAGGACCTGGGCTTCGCAGGGGCCTGGCGCTGGGCCCGGGCAGCTCTTTGTTCCAGCATCTAAGCCCCGAGTGTGCACCTCCCTGCCCGGTACGCACCACTGGCGCTCACAAAGGCGGCAGGGCACGCACACTTGTGTAGACGCACGGACAAAACCACAACGAGGTCTAAGCGCTGTCATCATTAGCAAATACAGCTTTGTCTGCAAAGTGACGGGTTCCATAAACAGCCCTAGAACTGCTGGGCCCCTGAGCCCCGTCCCTGCAGGCCAGCCCCTTCCTCTTCCCCGCAGCCGGGAGGAGGTCAGGTCAAAGGCTCTGCCACTCTGGGAGACCCTGACCTTGGGATCCAGGTCGCCAGGGCAGGGCTGTCCCAGGATCGAGAACAACACAGTAGCTTCTGTACAGCAACCGCTGCCTCTGTTCCAGGTGCATTAGGTAATTAATCTTTCTAATTACCTAATCAGAGGTAATTAGGTGGGTTGGCAGGTCCCCTTTCCAGCTGAGACAACTGGCCCCTCAGAGAGGCTGAGCAATTTGTCTGAGGTCACACAGCTGGTGGAATGGAGATGCCTCTCATCGCCTCTCCCCGGGTCAGAGGGAGGCAGAAACCGCCCCAAATCTTCCCACCTGGTTACACACAGAGCAGAGGCTGGAAAACAGGGAAGAGAAGGGGTCCTGCTGGGGTGTCCAGGATCATCAAGTCCACCTAGACACACGAGGTACCAAACCCACGACACCCAGATAGAGGGAAGAGAGTTTTGCAGACGCTCCTTGCAAATCAACACATCACACACACACCGAACGTTCCCCCGGGCCCTGGGCTGCTGGCTGGACCCTCTGTCGGCCGAACACCCCCCAGCGGCTGTGAGCCCCGCATGGGATAGAGAGGGAGGAGCTCGAGGTCATTGGAAGAAGAGTGCCCAGTTCAACTTAGATGTCCACCAGATACTTACTGTGGGCCAGGCTTGGCACTAGGCACTGCACACCCCAAAAGTAAGGGGGGCCCTGCCCTGAGCTCGTGCATGTGTGCAAAGACAAAGGGTGGTGAGTTGGAGCTCAGAGCCCCGGGCCGTCAGCTGCCCCCTGGCACGGCCCCACCGGCCTCCTGGGGCTGCACGGTTCTACGGCGCAGACCCTGGAAGGCCCCACGCCAAGTCCGGGCCCCCCTCACCCCATCTGAGCGTGACGGAAACAGGCAGGGGAGCCGCGGTCTGGGTCTCGTGCCCCGGCGTCCCGCCCCGGGCTCTCTGCGGTGGCCGCAGGAAGCCAGCCTGCCCGGCTTCAAAGCCGGGGACCCACCCTTTCCTCCGGGGCGGGCCCTGCTGTGGGCACTGCCCGGCGGACGCCAAGTCTGTGCCTGGCCATCAAAACAACACGGCCTCCCCCGCCCCCCTGCCCCCTGCCTTCCTGGCAGAGAGCAGCCCCTTCTGAAAGCACACAGCTCGCTCTGCCCCGGGGGACAAAGATTTACCTCTGCCATGCCACGCCACATCACGCCACTTGCAGCCCTCCTGTGAGCACGCCCTCCCCCGGCGGGGCT